CTTGACACAACACAGGTAAAGTATTCCTGACACAAAGATGACCTCGCCAATATCGAGGCAGGTAAGTTGCTCGAGTCCACTTCAGGAGATTAAAAAGAACCTACTATTTGCCTCACAAGTTATCTCTCTTTTCTCACCCACTTGTCACCTCAGGACTCTGTAATTGGGAGCAACTTATACAGGTAAAATGGGACTCAGTATTGGCCCCTTGAGTACGATAATAATTCCCTTGAGTACAGTGAGTGATATAACTTAACCCTTCGAGCACAATGAGAGAATATTTCTGCGTTTATACCTAACTTTCATCACTATTAACATCTGCTGTGGGTATATATGCCATCACACGCTTTGAATTATACCTAACAGGAAAACAGAGAGAGACAGAAGGTAAACAGACAGACACACAGAACAGACAGAGAAGACAAACAGACAGACACACAGACAGACAGAGAAGACAAACAGACAGACACACAGAACAGATAAATATCCCAAGGTTCTCGTGCTCAGTTCACATCCAGTACCTTGCTCACACACCTAATGGTATTTGGACAGACCCTCACTCCCTGCCAGCCGCTGTGTAGCTCAATGCTTCTGGTAATATATTGATAGACATAAGTTTAGTATTTCCCACAACGTTCTGAAGTTTAGAGAGAGAGAGAAAAAAAAAGTGTGTGTGTGTGAGAGAGAGAGAGAGAGAGGGGGGGGATAGTGTAGAATCTGATTTAGGTCACCTCCAGGATATATATGCTCTCTCTCTCGTCGGTGTAGGGTAGACTTATAAAGCCCAAGAGGGTCTATGGTGGTCACTGTCCTCAACTTGTGGATAGAAAATTAGGTCCCGTCCATACCAGACTTTTTTTCCCGTAAGAAAAAAATATAAGATTAAGAGGACCTGTTCTCTGTTGGTCTTATGCCTAACCTAACCTAACCTAACCTAACCTAACCTAACCTAACCTAACCTAACCTAACCTAACCTAACCTAAACTGAGTCCCTGAGAGTACCTTAGAGTCCCCGGGAGTCCTTGAGAGTCCCTGGTAACCGTAAGAGAGACAGAACTGGCGATAATATGTCCTAAGTTGTTATTTCTGTAACTTGTGTTGGAGATTTTGATTCGATTTTTTTTCCACCAAAACATCAACTTTGATTCGTTCAAGTTATGACGTTGGGAAGAAAAACATTACTATACAAACATTCAATACAATAGGTATAACATCAACCATTAAAATACTCAATAAACATTATCCAAACACACAATAAAATAAATATATAAATTATTGACCATTAAACCTCCACAATAAACATTACTAGCCAAACATTCAATAAAATAAGTAAAATATCAACCATTAAACCTCCACAATAAACATTACTAGCCAAACATTCAATAAAATAAGTAAAATATCAACCATTAAACCTCCACAATAAACATTACTAGCCAAACATTCAATAAAATAAGTAAAATATCAACCATTAAACCTCCACAATAAACATTACTAGCCAAACATTCAATAAAATAAATAAAATATCAACTATTAAACCTCCACAATAAACATTACTAGCCAAACATTCAATAAAATAAGTAAAATATCAACCATTAAACCTCCACAATAAACATTACTAGCCAAACATTCAATAAAATAAGTAAAATATCAACCATTAAACCTCCACAATAAACATTACTAGCCAAACATTCAATAAAATAAGTAAAATATCAACCATTAAACCTCCACAATAAACATTACTAGCCAAACATTCAATAAAATAAATAAAATATCAACTATTAAACCTCCACAATAAACATTACTAGCCAAACATTCAATAAAATAAATAAAATATCAACTATTAAACCTCCACAATAAACATTACTAGCCAAACATTCAATAAAATAAGTAAAATATCAACCATTAAACCTCCACAATAAACATTACTAGCCAAACATTCAATAAAATAAGTAAAATATCAACCATTAAACCTCCACAATAAACATTACTAGCCAAACATTCAATAAAATAAGTAAAATATCAACATTAAACCTCCACAATAAACATTACTAGCCAAACATTCAATAAAATAAGTAAAATATCAACATTAAACCACCACAATAAACATTACTAGCCAAACATTCAATAAAATAAGTAAAATATCAACCATTAAATCTCCACAATAAACATTACTAGCCAAACATTACAAAGCAATAAGCCATTCAATAAAATAAGTAAAATATAACCATTAAACCTCCACAATAAACATTACTAGCCAAACATTCAATAAAAATAAGTAAAATATCAACTATTAAACCTCCACAATAAACATTACTAGCCAAACATTCAATAAAATAAGTAAAATATCAACCATTAAACCTCCACAATAAACATTACTAGCCAAAACATTCAATAAAATAAGTAAAATATTAACCATTAAACCTCCACAATAAACATTACTAGCCAAACATTCAATAAAATAAGTAAAATATCAACCATTAAACCTCCACAATAAACATTACTAGCCAAACATTCAATAAAATAAGTAAAATATCAACCATTAAACCTCCACACAAACATTACTAGCCAAACATTCAATAAAAATAAATAAAATATCAACTATTAAACCTCCACAATAAACATACTAGCCAAACATTCAATAAAATAAGTAAAATATTAACCATTAAACCTCCACAATAAACATTACTAGCCAAACATTCAATAAAATAAGCAAAATATCAACCATTAAACCTCCACAATAAACATTACTAGCCAAACATTCAATAAAATAAGTAAAATATTAACCATTAAACTCCACAATAAACATTACTAGCCAAACATTCACAAAATAAGTAAATATCAACCATTAAACTCCACAATAAACATTACTAGCCAAACATTCAATAAAATAAGTAAAATATCAACCATTAAACCTCCACAATAAACATTACTAGCCAAACATTCAATAAAATAAGTAAAATATCAACCATTAAACCTCCACAATAAACATTACTAGCCAAACATTCAATAAAATAAGTAAAATATCAACCATTAAACCTCCACAATAAACATTACTAGCCAAATATTCAATAAAATAAATAAAATATCAACCAGTAAACCTCCACAATAAACATTACTAGCCAAACATTCAATAAAATAAGTAAAATATCAACCATTAAACCTCCACAATAAACATTACTAGCCAAACATTCAATAAAATAAGTAAAATATCAACTATTAAACCTCCACAATAAACATTACTAGCCAAACATTCAATAAAATATGTAAAATATCAACTATTAAACCTCCACAATAAACATTACTAGCCAAACATTCAATAAAATAAATAAACCAGTTAGTTAGTACCGCTCGTAGACCGTAAAAGACACTATTGTGAAAAATTTGCCTGACCCAAAAGTTTACGTGTGCAACTGTTGTGGTGGCAGCGAGGAGAGGGAGAGGCAGGACGTGATAATAGGCAGGTTTCTGGGGATTTTACCGTTTAATTACACATTTTTACGCCTGGTAATATATCGGCGCTGGTAACTGCACGGTTAGTGGGGTCTTTTTGAGGCTAGAGCGTGGTGGAGGAATTTCCCTGATAATTACAAGCAAGACGATGCAATAGAAGCAATTTTCAACTTAATCTTTTTTATTATCGTTACTGTGTCTCAAAACTCTTATTATTATTATTATTATTATTATTATTATTATTATTATTATTATTATTATTATTATTATTATTATTATTATTAGTATTAGTAGTAGTAGTAGTAGTAGTAGTAGTAGTAGTAGTAGTAGTAGTAGTAGTAGTAGTAGTAGTAGTAAAATGGTAATAAATTATGGCGAAGGTATGGCTATTGGGGGAGGATGGAGTGCCATTGCTTTAAGTAGTAGTAGCAGGTAGTAGTAGTAGTAGAAGTAGTAGTAGTAGCAGGTAGTATAGTAGTAGTAGTAGTAGTAGTAGTAGTAGTAGTAGTAGTAGTAGTAGTAGTAGTAGTAGTAGTAGTAGTAGTAGTAGTAGTAGTAGTAGTAGTAGTAGTAGTAGTAGCAGCAGCAGCAGTAGTTTCAAAATCATAATTATTTTAGTGATATATATAACAAACAGTACATAGTGTAAACAATCAACCATCACAACAACAATCAACACAATTTTTATCATTTTCACAACCGTCAGCAGTTAGGCAAATCACATTAGCTTAACTAACAACACCCGTCAACACAAGTAATATTTATGGTCATACCTGAACGACTGTAAAATAGTTTAGAGAGAGAGAGAGAGAGAGAGAGAGAGAGAGAGAGAGAGAGAGAGAGAGAGAGAGTGTGTTAGTGTGCTGAAAAGCCAGTCGTGTTGTGGTCGGTTACTATACTATGCTGGCAAAAGTTAGAGAGGTTTTCACTTTATCAGGATTAATGGAGGAGTTGGTTGGCCTTGTCACTCTGTTGTATAATGGAAAAAACAGTGGTGATGGTGATAGGTGGGTGACGTAGGTGATGGTGATAGGTGGGTGACGTAGGTGATGGTGATAGGTGGGTGACGTAGGTGATGGTGATAGGTGGGTGACGTAGGTGATGGGTGGGGATAGGGTAAGGATGAGGTGATGGTGACAGGTGGGTGACTTAGGTGATGGTGAGGTGACTTAGGTGATGGTGATAGGTGGGTATCGGTAGATGGTGATAGGTGGGTGACTTAGGTGATGGTGATAGGTGAGTGATATGGGTGGTGATGGTGATAGGTGGGTGACTTAGGTGATGGTGATAGGTGGGTGACATGAGTGGTGGTGGTGACACGTGAATGACATGGGTAATATGGATAAATCACCGAGAAGCAATACAAGATTTAAACATTTTTTGAAGCTCATTATATGTTAAAACTTTCAGGCTTGACTGCTAAAAAAAAAAAATTATGACAATGTGTATTTTTCTAGTCACATGTAGTTTTTATTACATAATTTATATTTTTACTTTTTTTTCCGACTTTTTTTTTCTCTCTCTCCCGCTATGTTCCTCAACCCGTAGTAATGTTTCCTGCAGCCCTGACGACCCATTCAGGACAGTCTGGCTACGAGGCCTTCAGTATGTCTGACACTTATCCATTTATTAGGTTAGTTATCCAATAACAGCTGGATCGACTTGGGGGGACCGCGAGCGTGAACCAGAACTCTAGGTAGGGAGGATTAGTGTTGTAACCAGCCAGCCACCGCAACATTCCCTACCATTGCTAAAGGGAAGTTGCGAGAAGATTGACATAACTTGTACATAACCACGAAAGATCTGCTCTCTCTTTCACCCTTCCTCCCTCTCTCTCTCCTTCACCACCTTCCCTCTCTTTTCTTGCTTCACTAACTCCTCCCTCTCCCCTCCCCTTCGTTTGTCATCACTTCCATTTCACTTTATCCTTACCTTCCACCGTATCTCTTCTTTTTCTCTCTCTCTCCGTCGGATATTTCAATATTTGCCTACACATCAGCACACACACACACACACACACACACACACACACACACACACACACACACACACACACACACACACACACACACACACACACACACACACACACACACCTCACCTTATACCTCGCTACCAAAACAAATGATACGTAAACAAACGTTGACGACAAGTATTTTACCTAAATGATCCATTATGGTCGTTCTGGTGCATGAGTCTGGTGAGTTGTCGACCCTAATGACCCTGACACGAGATATAACCACACAAACTTCCTGTAAAACAAAAACAAAAAAAAATACGATATCGTTTTTATAACTTGTTTTTTTTTTTTGGTATTTCATCGACCATAGAGTTTTGTATTACATGAATTATTGTCGTCGTGGGATTGTGATTTTTATGGAGTGGAAAGGAACCGACTAATGTGGTTAAATGGTCGGTCATACATACATGCATACATACACACACACACATACACATACACACACACAACACACACATGCATACGACTGGTCTGTGTGTATATTGCTTTATATGTATGTGTGTGTGTGTGTGTGTGTGTGTGTGCTTTGATATGTAGGCAAATAATGAAATATCCGACGAGAGAGATATAAATTATCAAAAAACATGCCGCCTCACTGATGGTGAAGGACAATAAACCTCAAGCTCAATAAATCAAATCAAACTTAATAACGACGAAATGAAATACAGGAACAAAAACGGGGCAGAGTGAAGAAGGAGGAGGAGAGTGAGGTAATAAAGATAGAGGAAAGGTAGAGAGGAGAGAGAGAGGTGGAGAGAGAGAGAGGGAGGTGGAGAATGGTAGAAGTGAGGTGGAGAGAGAGAGAGAGAGAGAGAGAGAGAGAGAGAGACCGTTCACCTTTCATCTGACGGCAGCACAGTGCAGTACAGACAGAATCTGACAATCATGGTTGTAAAACATCGTGGGAATTGGGATGAGGAGGGGTAGGAGGAGGGGGAGGAAGAGGCAGGGGAGGGGAAGGGGAGAAGGGAGGGGAGGGGGGAGAAGGTACTCGTAAGCACAGTTTATACTTCCATACGCCATTTACACTTCGGTGAGGGTAGGAATAATATTTCACTTTGGGGGTCACAACAAAACACAGGTCAAGAACGCTCAGGTGCTCACAATAGCTTATCATTGGTCATTATTTATATTATTACCTTTCAGAAGAGTTTGTTGAACGAAGTGAGTAATCCAATATAAACTTCATACGACATACATGGCAATATATTTAATACAATGTATATATTAAACCTTACTTAAAATACCATGTATGATAACTAATATTGAAATGGAGTGATATAATAAAAACCAATCAAATTAATTATTTCAAATATTGGAAAACAAATAATGGAGAAAAACCAACAACGGAACAAAATAGGAACATTGAAAAAAATATTGGAATAAATTATAACACCGCAGGAGCTTCAGATCTCCACATTTATAAAGATAATTATTAGTATTATAAGTTTGGTGAGGATAAGGTGAAGGTAGTGATGTAGTGGAGGGTTATATGTTGTAATGGGGGAAGACCTGTGACGGGGGTGACCTGTGACAGGGGTGACTCTGACGGAGGTGACTCTTGACAGGGTGATCTGTGACGGGGGTGATCTGTGACGGGGTGGGGGTGACCTTGACGGGGTGATTGTGACAGGTGACCTGTGACGGGGTGACCTGTGACAGGGTGGCCTGACGGGGTGATCTGTGGGGTGATCTGTGACGGGGTGATCTGTGACGGGGTGACCTGTGGGGTGATCTGTGACAGGGATGATCTGTGACGGAGGTGATCTGTGACGGGGATGATCTGTGACAGGGGTGATCTGTGACAGGGGTGACCTGTGACAGGGGTGACCTGTGACAGGGGTGACCTGTGAAGGGGTGATCTGTACAGGAGACCTGTGACGGGGTGATCTGTGACAGGGTGATTGTGACGGGGTGATGTGACGGGGGTGACCTGTGACAGGGGTTGTGACGGGGGTGACCTGGACGGGGGTGACCTCCTGGCAGCAGCCTCACATCAACAGACTCCCAGCAGACTCCCACAGCAACAGACTCCCACAGCAGCAGCCTCCCACATCAACAGACTCCCACATCAACAGACTCCCACAGCAGCAGACTCGTGGTCCCATCAACAGACTCCAGCAACAGCCTCCACAGCAGCAGCCTCCCATCAACAGACTCCACATCAACAGACTCCCACATCAACAGACTCCCACAGCAACAGCCTCCCCACAGCAACAGCCTCCCACATCAACAGACTCCCCCGTAGCCCACATCAACAGACCCCACAGCAACAGACTCCCACAGCAACAGACTCCCACATCAACAGACTCCCACAGCAACAGCCTCCCACATCAACAGACTCCACAGCAATAGCCTCCCACAGCAACAGACTCCCACATCAACAGCCTCCCACAGCAACAGACTCCCACATCAACAGACTCCCAACAACCTCCCACATCAACAGACTCCCACATCAACAGCCTCCCACAGCAACAGACTCCCACATCAACAGACTCCCACATCAACAGACTCCCACATCAACAGACTCCCACATCAACAGACTCAAACAGCAAGAGCCTCCCACATCAACAGACTCCCACATCAACAGACTCCCCAGCAAGAGCCTCCCACATCAACAGACTCCACATCAACAGACGCCCACAACAGCCTCCCACAGCAACAGACTCCCACAGCAGCAGCCTCCACAGGAACAGACTCCCATCAACAGACTCCACAGCAACAGACTCCCATCAACAGACTCCCACAGCAACAGCCTCCACAGCAGCAGACTCCCACAGCAACAGACTCCCACAGCAACAGGCTCCCACATCAACAGACTCCCACAGCAACAGCCTCCACATCAACAAACTCCCACAGCAATAGCCTCCCACATCAACAGACTCCCACATCAACAGCCTCCCACAGCAACAGACTCCCACCAACAAACTCCCACATCAACAGCCTCCCAGCAACAGACTCCCACATCAACAGACTCCCACATCAACAGACTCCCACATCAACAGACTCCCACAGCAACAGACTCCCATCAACAGACTCCCACAGCAGAGCCTCCCACATCAACAGACTCCCGTAGCCTCCCACATCAACAGACTCCCATCAACAGACTCCCACAGCAACAGCCGACTCACAAAGGCATAGGCAGACGGACAGGCTGTGGGCGGCTGCTGCAGGAATCTGATAATTATAACACAGGGACAGCTACCAGGAGTGATGGGTTATCAACACAATTCCAGATCAAACTCTCAACGGTTCGTAAGTCCTTCCTTTAGCTCTGTGAGATAAGAGAAGCCATCTACTTTAAGTATAGTCTCAGTACAGATTGGATGCCATGTTGAATGATATTTGGTTTGTTTTTAGTTGAAATGAACCAGAGTGATAAGTTCTTACATTATTACTTACGAGGAAAATTTACCGTATAGAGTCATTTGATACATCAATTTATCCCGGAATACAATAACTAACTCCTATATACTAAGACAACTAAAAGATGGTAGACAAAATGGTGTCAAAATCGCCCTGAAACTCTACCATAAGTCGATAAATTCTCTCTCTTTTTTTTAACCAATTACGATGAAGAGAAACTTAAATAATATGATCATCAGGTCAATCATGAGAGTTAATCTGATATTTTACGATGCCACTTAATTAGTCATCCTCTTTACCTAAAATATAATGTATTTAACAAGATATAAAACACAATGTGGATATTTGTACAGTTTTTTTATTGTAATGTAAATCCAAACACAACAAGGGAGGTATTTTGAGGGTAATAATAACAAATTCCCTAAATAATTCCCGCCATATCTGTACACCACTACACCAATGAAAAAATTCCCTAAATAATCCCCACCTCACCTCCACACCTACACACATCTACAGTCTACACCGCCACACCGCCACACATCTACAGTCTACCGCCACACCACCTCACCGCCACACCTCCACACCTCACCACACCTCACCGCCACCTCCACCTCACCGCCACTCCACCTCACCGCCACACCTCCACACCCCACCTCCACCTCCACACCCCTAAAAACCCCGCCGCCACCTCACCGCCACACCTCCACACCTCACCGCCACACCGCCACCACACACCTCTACAGTCTACACCGCCACACCTCCACACCGCCACACCTCCCTCCACCTCCACCTCCCACCGCCACACCTCCACACCTCCCACCACACCTCCACACCCACCACCCCCACCTCCACACCTCACCACCACCCTCCCCCCTCCCACCTCCCACACCTCCCTCCCACCTCCCACACCCCTCCCACCGCCACACCTCCCACCTCCCACCCACACCTCCACACCTCCACACCTCTACAGTCCTACACCCATACACCTCCACACCTCACACACACCTCCACACCTCCCACACCACACCTCCCACACCTCACCGCCACCTCCCCCTAAAAGAACAAGATATAATTATACTTACAGCATTATACCGTCAATAGCCACATGTCCTGTGTTTGTCAAGTACCCGTTAATTATGTGTCAGTAAACCATTCAGTAATTCATAAATAACTATAATAGGTGATTTATATATTTGAAAGGGAACTTCTTGAGATACACCCCTTATGTATGTATGTATGTATGTATGTATGTATGTATGTATGTTTGTATGTATGTATGTATGTATGTATGTATGTATGTATGTATGTATGTGTATGTATGTATGTATGTATGTGTGTATGTATGTATGTATGTATGTGTGTATGTATGTATGTATATGTAGAGGTAATACATCCAGGTAAATATGATTCATATGTATTCATCAGGTGTATAATTTTAAATGCGTAAATGAAAACAATAAAATGTGTTTACTTTATAAATTATTTAAATGAACGAGTATTATAATGTAAACCATATCAGATATTACATTGAGATTATTATTGAATTAACTGTTAATTCTCTTGAGAGAGAGAGACCAAACAACAGCTGTCATCACTGTGGTGGGAAGCGGCTCCCTCCTGTCGACCTTCAGTCTCATGGTTCATTTGATTATCACCCCAGTTGACCACCACGATGGGGGGGGGGAGGGAGGAGCAGGTGAACAGGGGAAGGAAGAAAGGAAGGAAGGAAGATAGGAAAGGGCAGTGGAGATAATGTTAGATTAAGAGAGAAGAGAATAGGAGAGGAGGTGAGTGTGAGGATGATGTAGTAGGATGACAGCCAATAGGGGGTGATAATGGGGGAGATAAAATGGGGAGTAAGAATGGGAAGGGGATAATGGAATTTAGGATGGGAAGCGTGGTGTAAGGATAATGGACTTAGGATGGCAGCCAAAATGGGGGTGGTAATGGGGAGGTAATGGGGGGAGGTAATGGGGAGGAGGTAATGGGGAGGTAATGGGGGTGATGGGAGGTAATGGGGGAGGTATGGGGGAGGTAATGGGGGAGGAATGTGGGGAGGTAATGGGGTGGTGGGGGAGTGTGGGGGAGAATGGGGGAGGTATGGGGAGGTAATGAGGGGATGGAAGATGTGGGGGGTGGTAGGGGGAGGTAATGGGGAGATGTGGGGAGGTAATGGGGACGTATGGGGGGTGGGGAGGTAATGGGGAGGTAAATGGGGAGGGTAATGGGGGAGGTAAAATGGGTGAGTTAAGGAAGACAAATTAAATAATTAGTACCAAGTGGTAATTAAAATCTAAAGGATCATTCCAAAATCTTCCTTAATAACATAATAAAAACAATTAATAACACAAACGTAATTAATATATAAACCTAATCGATATAACGGGTATTAGTAGATATAAAAACAATAACTAATTCCTATATCACACACAAAGCTCTTCAAGCCCTCCGACTCGAAAATCACAATTAAAAAATTCAAATTAATAACATTGCGATTCATTGTAAAATCCTTTTAATTGAACGGATAAAAGTGGATTACGGATTTTGGGTTGTGTCGCAGCCTTCATCATGTCAGCTTCACGTATAAATGGCATATAATCTAAAACTAATTAATTTGACTATCAGAGGACTCAAGAGATACATCAGGCAATTAACAAAACAACAACAAAAATTAATCGTTTTGTTAAATATGAGTCAATGTGAATATTAGGAAAAGTCATGATATATAAGGAAAGATTTTGTTATATGAATTAAAGGGTAATAAATCGCTGGGTATACTATAGCGTCATTATATGTGAAGGGAAGGTAAGATTAATGCGATACAGAACCGAACTATAGACTGGTATGAACCCTCCGCCAGGCCACAGCAAAGTGTCGTAACTCTGTGTAATGTTGACAGTAAACGCTGATTGGTGAACAGTGACTAAGTTTGGTTAAAAATGTATCGTCATTTGGTCGAGTTTAACCTGTAGATAACTCCCACGAGACGGCAATGAGGAGGCTCTGACGGAGAGATTGAATCATGGATGGAAGGCACACTTTACCTGCATCAACCCCAGCACAGAGAGGGAGTAAATAAAATGGGTGAATAGAAGAGGAAATAAGTGAATTAAAAGAAAAATATAGTATTATAAAACATATTAAAGGAAGATAATAGATGAGAAAAAAACAAAAACAAATGAGCATCACTCTTCTGTCATCACCAGCCACAAACACGAACACCAGCACAAGCAATCAACAACGCCTGACGTCCACAGACAAACGGTATTTCTGGTAATCTGTTGTGATTCTGACGTAAGAGTACCGCCAGCAGCGTCTGGCGTTAGTCTTCTCGACACAATAACGAACGTTCTTAGTCGCAATCTGTTTTAACCTTACTATAAAAATGTCGCCAGCACACAACAGCGCCTGGCGAACAAAAAATCCATTCAAGGATAAACGTTCGCCCGAGTGATAGTATCTGATCCTCCTGTAAAAACATCGCTAGGATACAACAGCGTCCGGACACACACACACACACACACACACACACCACACACACACACACACACACACACACACACACACACACACACACACACACACACACACAGAAACGTTCATTTACTTCATGCCGTCAGTAGTGTTCTATTTACGACACTGTGACACGCGAATGGAAGGTAAGCCAGACGAACGTTCGCCCCGCCTTCTGTCAGCAGTGGCGTCGCCCTCTCATGGTAGGACCGACCCACCGCCACCACCAGAGACTCACAGAGATCCGGCTGCCTCTTAGGTCGTGTTAATGTTCCTCACTCACGCACACTCGCCTGAGGTCAACTCGTCTTTCTCTCTCCAGTCCACCAAAGTTGACCGGCCAAGTGGAACCCTGTCTAAATGGCCTCCAGCCTTTATAACCCTCAGCCTTAAAAGCTCCCAGTCTTAATACTCTCAAGTCTTAATACCTCACAGTTTCCATAGGTCTTTATAACCCCCACAGTCCTGATACTTCCCATACTTATGATATTCCAGTCGTCAAAGGCTCAAGTCTTAAGTAGTCTCCAGTGTTAAGTAGTCCCCAGTCTTAAGTAGTCCCCAGTCTTAAGTAGTTCCCAGTCTTAAGTAGTTCCCAGTCTTTAAGAATCCTAACCTTAAATAATCCAGCCTAAATTACCTAATCCTGAGAGGTCTCAATGCCAGTGGTCAGCAGAGGTTAGGATTGGGCCTATGAGAGAGAGAGAGAGAGAGAGAGAGAGAGAGAGAGAGAGAGAGAGAGAGAGAGAGAGAGAGAAATTAGGACATTTCAACACGGGCTCACGATCCAGTCTATTTTTTTTTTCACGTCATTAACAGCAGCGACACAAGACTAAAGACCAGCTCTATAAAACACTAACCACAGAGAGCGATCAAAAGAGGCTCTCCAATCTCCTGCTACATCTTCTTCATCTCCTTCTCTTCCTTCTCTTCGTCCAAATCCTCCTCATTTTCCTCACATCCTCCTTCTTCTTCTTTCCTCCTCCTCCTTTTCCATCTCCTTCTCCTTCTCCTCCTCCTCTTATCTCCTCCCACAATTGTATGTTCACTGAGGCTACTACAGACAGACGTTCACTCACCGTATGTGTGTGAGAGAGAGAGAGAGAGAGATAAAAGAAATAGAATGATATATAATTTAAAAAGCACATCAACACACAAACACTCCTTCATCACACCCTTCAACAAAGACACAGACACTATACACACACACACACACACACGGCGCTCATCTACGTCATCTTTCAAGTCTACCTTTGACGTCCAGGACACTTAACTTCAAAGGACGATCATTATCTTATTTTTAACCTGTGTGTGTGTGTGTGTGTGTGTAAGGAATGTCTGTATGTATGTGTATATATACGCATCAGAGTTCTTGTAATAAGCATCAGGACCACAG